TTATGAAGAATTTTCAAGTGATTCACGCGGTGGAAAACATACTGACTCGTTCTATGATATGTTTCCCGAAATTGAAGCAGATGCTAGATCCTTCGTTGTTCAAGCATGTTCACAAAAGTCAGGAGATTTCAAAGCGATGGACCTGGCTCAGTTCATTGACACAAAATACTATGAAGTAACAGGAATTAAAAAACAAAGTGACGACGATTTGATAAGATCCGAAAGAAGCTGTCATGTGGATCTTCGCAGATGGGGAGCTAAATTCGACGCGAATTCACAACGCCCATATGTTGAAGGACATGAAAGAGACGATGTGGTGAAACATCGTCATGAATTTATTAATCATTTTCTAGCGCATAAAGACTTTTATTACACAATTAGTGATGGTGAAACACCTATGTGGATTTTGCCAACCCAAAATCCTCACAGAATACTTATATGTGAGCAAAGCATTTCGAACTTTTTAAATACAGTTTATTGTTATTGTTTTCGTTTTTGTTTTATCTAGTTCATGATGAATCAACATTTAGAAGCGGTGAAGTTAGTCCAAAACGGTGGTTTTTCCAAGAACATACACCGTTTTTTTCAAAGGGACGCGGTCGTAGTCATATGGTTTCTGATTTTCTTGTTCAACATCCTAGTGGACCATTTTTTGGACTTAGTGAAAATGAATGGGAACAAGCTGTTCGGAAATATCAATCGTTAAGTGTTGATGGTGATGTTAATTATCTTGATCGAACAGCAACAGCTAGTATTAATATTGGAACAGACGCGTATTTTGATAACGATACGATCCTAGGACAGTTTGAACGACTATTTCAAATGCTAGAATTCAAACAAGAACACAAGGATAATCAGATAGAAATTATCGTGGACAACGCAAGAACTCATACTGCCAAAGTCTTGTAATGAATATGATTTGGCAGTGTGAGTTCTTGCGTTGTCCACGACTATTTCAAATGCTAGAATTCAAACAAGAATACAAGGATAATCAGATAGAAATTATCGTGGACAACGCAAGAACTCACACTGCCAAATCAAATTCATTACAAGACTTTGGTAAAAATTTGGGCACTCGTTGTCCTGTTGAACAAATCGAATATATTGATGAAAATGGCGCAACAAAAGTTGTTGATTGTTATTTTAAAGGAGGAGAAAACAAAGACAAATCAAAACGTTTAGTTGAACTATGTAAAGATTTAGGTGTGCAGTTACCAGCTAAAATTAAATTAGACGAAATTCGTGAAATACTTTCAGCGCATCGAGCTTTCCGAAATGTAAGTGATAATCATTCCAGGTTTTTAAGCATATTCGATCTTATGTCGTTTATTTTGTCATTTAGGCTACAAAACTTGAGATGCTAGGAGCCAAATATAAAATTAACATTATATACTGTCCTAAATATCATTGTGAACTAAATGCCATTGAAGGACTTTGGTGCAATCAAAAAGCGTTTGTTCGTTCACGCACTGATCAAAG